ATGATAATGATCCTAATGATAATGATGATAATACTGATAATGATAATAATAATGATGATAATATTGATAATGATAGTAATAATGATAATGAAAAGGATATTAATAATAATGATAATGAAAAGGATATTAATAATAATGATATTGATAATAATAGTAATAATAATGATGACAATAATAATGATAATAATAATAATGATGATATTGGTAATAATAATAATGATGATAATAATAATAATAATGATAATAATAATAATAATAATAATAATAATAATAATAATAATAATAATAGTAATAATAATAATAATAATAATAATAATAATAATAATAATAATAATAAGGATGATGAGGATAATAGTGATAATAATAATAATGATGACAATAATAATGATAATAATAATAATAATAATGATAACAATAATAATGATAATAATAATGATAATAATAATGATAATAATAATAATAATAATAATGATAATAATAATGATGACAATAATAATGATAATAATAATGATAATGAAAATGATATTAATAATAATGATATTGATAATAATAGTAATAATAATGATGACAATAATAATGATAATAATAATGATGACAATAATAATGATAATGAAAAGGATATTAATAATAATGATAATGAAAAGGATATTAATAATAATGATAATGAAAAGGATATTAATAATAATGATAATGAAAAGGATATTAATAATAATGATATTGATAATAATAGCAACATTAATGATAAAGATGATAGTAATGATAATAATAATGATAGTAATAATGATATTGATAATAATAGTAATAATAATGATGACAATAATAATGATAATGAAAAGGATATTAATAATAATGATATAATGATAATGATCCTAATGATAATGATAATAATAATGATGACAACCATAATAATGATAATAATAATGATGACAATAATAATGATAATGAAAAGGATATTAATAATAATGATATTGATAATAATAGTAATAATAATGATGACAATAATAATGATAATAATAATGATAATGAAAAGGATATTAATAATAATGATATTGATAATAATAGTAATAATAATGATGACAATAATAATGATAATAATAATAATAATGATGACAATAATAATGATAATAATAATGATGACAATAATAATGATAATAATAATGATGACAATAATAATGATAATGAAAAGGATATTAATAATAATGATATTGATAATAATAGTAATAATAATGATGACAATAATAATGATAATAATAATGATGACAATAATAATGATAATGAAAAGGATATTAATAATAATGATAATGAAAAGGATATTAATAATAATGATATTGATAATAATAGTAATAATAATGATGACAATAATAATGATAATGAAAAGGATATTAATAATAATGATAATGAAAAGGATATTAATAATAATGATATTGATAATAATAGTAATAATAATGATGACAATAATAATGATAATAATAATAATGATGACAATAATAATGATAATGAAAAGGATATTAATAATAATGATAATAATAATGATGACAATAATAATGATAATAATAATAATGATGACAATAATAATGATAATGAAAAGGATATTAATAATAATGATAATAATAATGATGACAATAATAATGATAATGAAAAGGATATTAATAATAATGATAATGAAAAGGATACTAACTCTTCACTCCCCCCCCCCCCCCCCCCAGGACGAGTGAGCGTGAACGGCATCCCGGTAGAAGCCGTAGAAGTCCTTGAAGACGGGACGCTGGTCTACACCGTCGCCACCTTCCTCTTCGATCACCGCCAGAGGGTGCAGGAGGCGCTGGAGGAGGCGGAGGCGAAGGAGTGGGGTGTTCATGAGGGAGAGCTGGGTAGGGTTGTTGTTTGTTTGTTGTTTGTTGATTTTTTTTGTTTTGTTTGATTGCTTGTTTGTTTTTGTGTTTGTCTGTCTCTGTATGTATGTATGTATGTATGTATCTCTTTCTCTCCTTCTCTCTCTCTCTCACTCTCTCTCTCTCTCTCTCTCTCTCTCTCTCTCTCTCTCTCTCTCTCTCCTGCACGTTGTTAAATATGTTCTTATATATATCTGTCTATTCATTTTTTTTTTCTTTTTAGTGTATTTTTTTTGTTTTGTTTTTAAAAAAGTGAAAATGATCCTATCTTAAATTCATGGCATAATGTTTTCTTTGTGCAACACCAGCCCTCCAGGACTCTCCTCGCGTGATCTCGGAGTCAACTGAACTGCTCGAGAAAGAAATGGCACAGGAATCGTCTCAGAAACAGAAGGCGAGTCAGGCGCAACAGGAAGGTCAGACACAACAGGAGATGAGTCAGTCTCAACAGAAATCGAGTCAGCTAGAAGGGGAGACGACTCACTCTCAACAGGAATCGACTCAACGGACACAACAGAAGTCGACTCAGCTGCAACAGGAGACGACGACTACGACGACCACAACGACCGAGGCACTGACTGAGACGACTGAGCTGCAAGAAGAACCGA